CTGTGTCCCTACTAGAATGGATATGACATATCCGTTGAGTAGACTGGTATCGCTCATTTATTAGTTCAGTCACAAGAATAAATAACAACCAGAAGAATCTCTCCGATCACGTGATCTTTGAGGGCTCGTGACCTTCAAGCACACCTACACCGATATTCTACACCGAAACTTTCAGTGCAGTAGCGACCGGCACGGATGGTGGTATCGAAATCGTGAATTTATAATTATTATTATTCTTTTGTTTCTGTTATTTTACTTAAATATTTTTATTTTTGATTATTTTCTGATTTTGTTGTGCTTTAATGACAGTGTGAGTTATGGAAGAAGACAAAACAAGCTGAATTTGTTTTTAGTTATAAAGACTGCAAAAATAAATCTTATATTGGTGCACATTCATTTTACAGATTTCCTCAAGATGATGAAAGGTAATATAAATAAAGTATAATATATAAGTCAAATACAGGGTGTTTTAAATTATCTGTTACTTCGGGATATTTTCTGTATCTTTAATCTGAGGGAGGGTTGTCCCACAGTACTTAGGGTATATCTTAATAATATTATGCAACGATCATGTATTAATAGCCATTACATAAGGATTGCATGCCCTATTTCTTTACGACCAAGGACCAGTTCTTCAATCGAAAATAGATTAATTTAAAAAAATATAATGCTTTTAATCCCTCAAAATTTTAGATAATGTAATTTCTTATGACTAAATAATAAATCTATTTTTATTTCCCAAAAGTGTTTCGGATTTTTTTCCACTATAGCCTTTGGACTTTATCTTTTTATATCATAGCAATTATGGGTATTCTCTCACATATCAGTTTTATGTTTAATATTTAGTTGTGTTTTTAAAATGGAGTAACGAGTATTTTAATTTGGTTGAGAGTTGCTCAAAACAAGATATTTTTATAAAAGGATAATACTTCCTCTGTTAGCTTCCAGTCTAAATGTTGACTATACATCTTATACCTTCAATTTCGAGTAGTGTACATGAAACATTATCGTTGCTGGACATCTTTTTTCAAATTTAAAAGACCTAGATATTTCAAAATCGATGATCTAAACTGACACAGAACATAAATCTTCCAGAAACTGTCAAAAACTATTTGGGGAAAATAACTGGATGCTTACATGATTATTAGAAAATATAGATTTCTATTGATCAATTTTTCAGTTTCATAATGAAAAACCAGTGCTATAATGAATATCATTATGAAACTTAACATTAAAATTTAATTACCAAATGATAGTACTTGAGTAGAAAATAATATTTACATGCTGGTGCAACAACAACGACGCAATTAAAAGTAATATAGAAAAATACCTTTTTTTTAAGAATCAAAGTGTTTCTTTTTTGACCTAAAAAACTAAATTATCTTTAATATTTTCTTGTTATGATATGATACATTTTAGGTAATTTTCAGAATTTAAAACCAATGCCAAGTAGTAATGACCTATCAAAACTGAATTATCTCTAATAAATGCTTGCTATGATACACTTTAGGTAATTTTCGGCATTTCTATATTTAATATTCAATATCTTTCTGGAATTACTCTATTTATACCCTTATTATTTATAAATACCTTAATGTAATAATTGCTTGTTATGATACACTTTAATTAATTTTCGGCATTTCTATATTTAATCTCTAATATCTTTCTGGAATTACTCTCCTTATACCCTTATTATTTATACATACCTTAATGTTTATTTTATTAAATTAATAAAAATAATAATTTATTTTTTTATTAAACTTTATTGCAGTAAAACTCTTATGACCAAAATTTTTAATGAATATACCAATTAGAAAAAATTATAATTATCGCGCCCAAATGTCCGATTTCGATCTCAAAGTGTAGATAATTTTAGTTAATTTAATGTCTAACTTTTCTTATTAAATTCACATTTTAATTCAAAAATATATGTTTTTAGTGCATATTTTGACTGTTTTTTGTGCATATTTGCATCCATATTTTTTTTTAAGTGCGTTTCTCCCGATCTTTATTAGTTATCTCAAAATTTATACTTTAATCCAGACAATGGAAGTCTGAAGCTATCAGGTTAAATAAAATGAAATATAAGTGTAAATCTTTTTTCAGAGCGAAATCTTGGCTCTTAGCGTGTTAGACCAGATTTATTATACAAAGTAGACACTCTTCACAAGAGCTATGGAATTTGTGATGTTCATTTTTCTCCACGGATGTTCCAAAAAGGAAAGATACAAATACTGCGAAAAGATGCTGTTCCACTCAAATTCGTTTCAAATGGCATTATTGACGAGGCAGTTCCAAATACATCGACTTCTAGCACTGAATCCTCTCAAGTGCCATGTACGAGTATTTTATACCAGCTTTTGGAACCATCAGCTTCAACCATTGGCAACTCTTCCAAAAGGCAGAATTGATTCAGCGGTCTCCAATACGTTTTCCTTCACGGAATGTCCAAACATCAGAGAAACTAACTTTTAGAAGCCTAAGAAAGAAAACTCTTAAGGAGATCAACAATGCCCTGAAATTTAAGAACTAAGCGTTAAAAAGAGACAACCAGATCCTTCTTAATAAATATAACAATCTTGAAAAGAAGCTTTAAGAAAAATTGGAAAACACGATCACTTTCAAACAGTACAAAACGTGTACGTATTCACTGTGCCCATCCAAAGAACTCGCAGAATTTATTAATGTTCAGATTACCCAAAGCATGAAATCAGTTAAGGTCGAAGGTATTCGGACGAATTTAAATTTAAGTGTTTATCACTATATTTCTCTGGCCCAAAGGTTTATAAAACACTTCTAACTAAATTATTTTGCTTGCCTGGTCCGCAATCCTTTAGAATCTTATTACGTGGGATAGACATCCCACCAAGTTTGGAAGTTTCCAATGTGTTCAAAACACTTAAAATTAAAGCTGACAATTTTAATGAAATAGACAAATATTGTGTACTGTGTGTGGATGAGATAAGCATAAAGGCAATTTTTTTTAACCCTAGTGCGGATTATGTTGTAGGCGTGGAAGATCCCGGCAATGGGGAAAGAGTATTTAAACCAGCAAGAACAGCCACTGTCTTGTTGATCAGGGGAATTTTCTCTAATTGGAAGCAACCTTTGAGTTATTTTATTTACAATAGTACATGCCCTGGTTTAGAGTTAAAGTATATAGTTTTTGATGCTATTTAAAAGTTAAGGAATATTGGACTGAACGTTATTGTTACCGTAAGTGATATGGGCTCCAATAATATTCAATGTAAAAACTTTTTGCAAATAACCCCTAAGAGACTTTATTTTATTTTTGACGATCAATTTTTTTTTTATACTCGATACACCTCACCTCATCAAGTCTATGAGAAACATGTTACTGAAACATACTTTTCTTGTTTCTAATAAAATAGTTTCTTGGTCATATATTACGCAATGTTATAATATTGATAAGTCGTTAGTTACTAGATCAGCGCCTAAACTAACTGATTCACATATATTTCCTAGTAATTTTGAAAAAATGAAGGTAAAATATGCAAGTCAGGTATTTAGTCTTGCAGTTTCAGCGGCTTTAAATGTGTACGTCGAATTAGGTAACTTGTCTAATGAAGCCCAGGCAACTGCTGATTTTATTGATAAAATCGACAAATTATTTGATATTCTAAACTCGTCAAAAACATCAGACGGGAAAAAATATAATTTGTCGTTTAAGGTTCTCGACTTTCAACTAACATTTTTTAATGAGATGTTATTGCTGTTGGACAACTTAAAAGTTTTTAATGACCTAGGCGAGTTACATCCTCCTAAAAAATGAAGTTTATAACAGGTTTTAAAATAAAAATTAGCTCCATTCTTCATTTATGGGATTTTCTTAAAACAAAAAACGTTAAGTTTCTTTTTACTAGACGTTTAAACCAAGATCCGTTAGAAAATTTGTTTGGTCTTATAAGACAGCAAAATAGTACTTGTGCTAATCCAATAACAATTCAATTTCAAAGAACCTTTAGAAAGTTGTTCTGTGCAAAGCTACTCAATTCAGGAACTCAAAACTGCGAGAATGACATAAATAATATGCTTCTGCGGGTATCTGATGGCATTAAAGAGGATACAAATTCATTCGTAGCTCATACACATCCCCATACATCAAATTTGCCAGAAATTGATAGCAGTTATCAAAAAGAGTCCACGTTAGAAACGAATTTCGAAAGGTATTTTGCGGGTTACCTAATAAAAAAATCTATACATTCTTGTAAAAATTGCGAGGAATATTCAAAAGCCTATCAAAATTTGGACGATACATCTTTTTTTGTTACTATAAAGCTTATAACAGCTCCAATTTAGATTTATTTGGTAACATAAACATGCCACACAAGGATTTTGTAAGATGTATCTCATTTTTAGAGGTAATATTTCAACTAAATAGATACGTTTCAAAGTTTTGTGAAATACAAGTTTTTCACATCCATGTGAACAATTTTCACATAATTATTTAATAAAATTATTCGATAGAGTAAGATTATTTTATGCTCCTAAATGTATTAACTGAAATTTTAAAACTATAAAAGACAAAAAAGTTGTCATTTGAAAAGATAAGCAATTATTTTTTTAAAAATATAAATCTTTTACTTGCCTATATTTGTAATGTATAAACTTAAAAAATAAATCAATAGCTACCCAATATTTTATTTATTTTTCTGATCTTTATTTCGGTGCGCCTATGAAATACAAGTAATAACTAAAACACGAGGTCATAGCTCGTCGGCATCAACTACAAAGGAATAAAATGAGAGATATCCTTCTGGTTATTATTTATTCTTGTAGTTCAGTAGTCTGTGCACATAATAGACAATATTACATAATGAGGTGTAGCAAAAATTCTTACTTTGACTCCGCCAATAGCACAATATAGATTCAAAAAATTATCTCTGTATAGAAAACCCAGTAAAGGTGTGAGATCTTTTGTTCTGTATTAGGACAGCTTACTTATTATATAATATAAAAAAATGGATGCTTACGCTTACCTCTGCCACTCCTCCCAACGAACCTAAGATCGTTGAACTTCGCCACTTGATTCTTCATGACGGCAGTACAGTTTCTTAACTCCGCACAAAAATTTTCATCGTTACCGGCTTTAACTGTCACTACGGTCCCGTCCCCAACATCACCCAGTGCTACCACCTTAAATGCTACCGGAAGTGTCTTGTTCGACCTCCAATGCGGAGGCAAGACGGTACAAACGACGTGAGGCGATCCAGTCCTGACCAGTTCTCCAGGATGCTCAGCAAGGAGCCCGTCTATGGTCCTTTCCGCCAACATCTCGGCAGTTAGATTGCAGTAAGTACGGTCGTAATGACCAGTAGTTGAAGATACTTCGCTACCCAGGTGCATATTTTTGAAATTATGGTGTGTTAAGTAGTGGCATATCTATTTAAAATCCTTTGTTTACTTGAAACGGCAGGTAATATAACGTTTAATTCATGTTCTAAATATTTGTTTTTTTAAACAAAATTTATTTCTATCTTATCTTTTTGATTTGTCCATTTCATTTGATCAGTGTAGGTCTCTTGATTAAATTATATAATAGATAATTGATATGTCAAAATCTTCTCAATTTATAGTTGTTTATAGTGGATTCAAAGTTCAGAATCGCCGCAAATAAAGTAAAATTATTATTCTAAATCTTTTCGTTACTATTTTAAATAATCTAGACAGGTTTTTACTTTTTATCTTTAAAGAAAGTTCTTTTGTAGCTGTATTACAAAAATATCAGATCATTAATAAAAATATAAATTTATCTTCTTAATTGATCTAATAGCTTTATCTATTCCTGGTAAGCTATGGTTTGCAAATTACTTTTAAATTAATCCAAATTTGCCATAGTACCTAAATATATTTTAAATATATTATCTATAATATTTGCCTTTATTGTAAATTAAATAGAATTTGTATATACCTCTTTTCTTCTGAGATATTAGGTATGTTGATTTTTGAGGAAAACACTAAGCACTAAATTTTTGATATATCACCACAAGTGTCATTTATCACTTGTCAACTTTTGTTTTCGCGCGTTTTCCATATGCTTCTTTGATTTATCTGTTCTTTCGCGTTGATTCGCTGATAATACAGAGAGAGGCGATGCGTGTGACTTTTTCGAGTAGCGCGCTTTTGACAAATTGATACGTGCTGGGTGAAAAAAGCTCGCAGCACTCGGTTTTTACAAGTTGAATGCGCGTTCACTGCAAAATATGATGAAAAATCACAGTTGGTTCGGTGGCAGGCCGCAGATGTGCGCTGGAATATTTTCTATCCCGTACTTTCTTTCTGCAACTTGTTTTTCTAATTACGTGTGTTTCTCTCGCTCTTTCATTAGTGATTCGTTTTTAATTGGGTATGCTGTCTCGCTCCGGGGTACGGTGACAGGATCGCCACGGAGTTTATTTTTGGATTAAAACTTTAACGAACGATTTTTCTTGAAAAAAGTCGCCGCACGAATACCGATGCTGATTCTGGACGATTTGGAGAACTAAGGGTCTGACACTTTTCGCTTTGATGATCGGAAGGATGAGAGGCTGCAAGAAAAAAGAACAATTAATGATTGTGTCAAACTTACACTAAAAAAACAACTAATAGTTAAAGAATAAAAATATTGGTATGCAAAAATACATCAATGTGTAAAAAATTATTTTTTTATTAAATTTAGGCTGAACGCATTTAGCTTTAAAAAGGTATCATCTTAACAATTAACAATAAATTGGTAAACTTTCGGTTAAAAGATACCGCCATAGGAAATATGTAAAGTTCTTCTGGTATATCCCTAAATAACATATTGTTAAAAGGCTTACTAGTCCAGCCAGAATTGTTCGACATCCTCGCTCGTTTTATACTTTTTCCTTCTGTTTTCATTTATTACAGAATGATTCAAATGAATCCCAATCAAACATTTTGTGGCCAAACAGTCATCAACATGACCTACAATGTATGAAACTTTAGATTATTACTTATGGTACGAATAGGGATCCGTATTTATCTACTCGTGTCCTAAACGAACTTGCTTCTACCAATAATTTTATTTTTAATTGATTCTACTGTTGGTAAATTTATTTTCTGTGTACAGGGAAGGGCTTTATTATCTCCTGATTGATTAAACCGTTTTATTTATTTCATTTTTTTTTTTTTTTTATTTTTTTTTGAAAATTAATTCTTCTTTTGGTAAATTTATTTTGTGTATAGGAAGGGCATAATTGTCTCCTGAATGATAAAACCCTTTTATTTATTTCAACTATTTTTTTTTTAATTAATTCTACTTTCAGTAAATTTATATTTTCTGTATACAAGGAGGATCATAATTACTTCCTGAAATATTGAACGGTTTTATTTATTTCAATTTATTTATTTTTTGAAAATTGATTCAACTTTTGGTAAATTTATTTTCTGTATACAGGGCAGGGCATAATTGTCTCCTGAATAATAGAACCGTTTTATTTATTTTAATTTATTTTTTAATTTTTTCTAATTTTGGTAAATTTATTTTCTGTATACAGGGAGGATCATAATTATTTCCTGAATTATTGAACCGTTTTATTTATTTCAATTTATTTTTCCCGTAGGGGCAGATGCGGTACTTACTCAATGCTATGTTGATGATATTTGGTATGGTAGCGATTCTTTAAAAAAATTAAAAAAAAATTAAAATCAATTATTACAGTTATAAAATTCCGAGAATTTCGATCTTTATAAAAAATTTAATTAGAAAATCTGTATGGGATCCTTATTTCGATCAATTGGTAATTGTTCTCCCAAAAAATTCTAATAATGGTTCCATAACTAAAAGAGTAGCTTTATCATAAATAGCTCAAATGTTTGATCCATTAGGTTTAGTTATTCCTATTATAGTAGTGGTAAAAATTATTATGCAAAATATTTCTAATCAGTGGCACGATTTTATTAATAAAATTCCTTAACTTTCTTGTTTAAAAAAAATGTAGGTATTTTTATTTTCCAGGAGAAATATTTCAAAAGTCAAAATACAAAATACAGTAGCAACAGTTCATTGCATATGAAGGTTCCATATTTTTCTGTGAATGTCCGTAAATAAGCGGCAAATACGTCAAACTGTCATATGTAAATTATCAATGGATTAATGGTGGTTAATTGTTTTCATTATTTGTTCGGTTGTAATGCACATTTTAATACATTTTTACTATATTTAGAGTTTTCTTCTTTCATTTAATATGTAATATTTTATTTAAACAGACAAAAGGACAAGATATTTGGAAGTTTATTCTCTTAGTGTAGAAATAAAAGGCAAAAACGTTAACATTCAATAAAAATCTAACCACTACGACATCAAAGGAGTCGACTCAAGCTGTCGGTACTGTATTATTAATTATACTTGAGTTATACCAAGAGTCGTCTAGCTCTTGTAAAAACTGTTTCATTATCCAGACTTGAATTATGTGGTGCTGTTTTGTCATCACGATTAGCATCAAGAATACTTTCGACTTTTGAAAATTTGTGTACAGAACAAAGGTGTCTGGGTTCAAATCCTGAGACTGACAGACTTTTTTTTTAAATCTCCAAGTATGTGTTTTTATCTTTGTGGTTCGGGTATGGTCTTAATAATTTGCAGGGGCTTTTTTGAGATTTGTTTCCGAATTTTCAAATTATTCAATAACGTCTTATTTTTAAAAGAAAACATACAAATTTATCTCCAATAAGATAGCCATGCTAAATATATAGTTTAACACCGGATCTAATATTGTGGGGCGGCTAGATTGATTTTACGAGGACAACAGTAAACTGGACTTTTTCTTAAACGTCAAAAAATCAAGGCTATAAAATTGTATAACTAATAAATTAAGTTTTACCAGCCATAATTAAAAATTTATTATGAATTGGTCACATATTAACTGAAAGTCGTAAATATGATTAAAAATAAAGTAGGAAAACTTGCTAATGTATTAATATTAACACGTAGAATTTATTTTGAATGTATGTGCTCACAAGGTGAAGACCTCTAATCAGAAAAAGATCTTATTAATCAATCTAGGACTCACTCTATGGAGTGTAGAGGTAAAGAGAACTATCTCTGTATACAAAAAGTGTCCCTCAAAATGAATAAAACTAAGATGGCGCTTCTGTACCAGAGGGACGTCGATAGTCGATAATTCAGATCACACAATAACACTATTGATGTAGACAGTTATATTTATTGCTCACCCATATGTATAGACAACTACATCATAAAAAGCCATCATAAATAACGACTGAGCTTATAAACGTAGATAATTTTTTTAAATAGATGACAATAGTGTTTTTCGTCGACTGAATCACATATGGGTGAGCTATCTATATAACTATATATCATTGGATCTTTCCCTTCTAGTACACGAGCGCTATCTTAATTTTATACATTTTGGGGTACACATTTTGAAGTAAACCACCGTATGAGATATTTTCTCCTTTCCTCTACACTCCATAATTCACTCTTATCGTATTTGTAATGTTTTTAAAACATGTTATAAAGTATTAAAATACACTCACCGGCAGAATTAGCCGCCCACCTAATGTTTTGTTATTTAGTTGGAGATATTTGTAATTTTGATTTTTTTTTTACTTTTTAATGTCTAAGTATACCTTGAAAAAGCAAACAAATACCAATCAAATGAAAGTTTTTGTTTAATTTTAAAGCAATTCTGCTTTCGTCAGAGAATAAAACATTCTTCCACTGATCCATATTCCACATACTGTATTCACGCGCAAAACGGAGTCTAGGCAGTCTAGCTGTTTTGTGATGCGGACGAAGCTGAGGGGCTCGGTAAGGGCGTCTCGCTATAACATTCCTTTCTGCCAACCTCCTTCTTATGGTTCTTTCGCTGACCTCCACATTTCTAACCTCAGCAAGACGAGTACGGGCTTCAACAGCAGTACAGAACCGATTTCTTAAAATCGTGCTAACAGCAAAACGATCGTCCCTCATTGAAGTGCAGCGATGGCGGCCCTGACTAGGCCTTCTGGTGTAAGAACCTGTCTCTCGAAAACGCCTTATGGCATCTCTGACTGTTTCACGAGCAGCACCAAGTATTCCAGCAATACGACGTTGACTATAACCTTCATCAGATAGAAGTACAGCCTTGGCTACTGATTCTGCTCGCGATGGCATTGTTTTGAATAAAACTATTTTGAACTTAAATTAAACCGATTTTACAAAATATACACGAACACTAAACAAGTCTAATTAAGTCTAATAAAGAAAAAAATTGTAAATACACTAACATTAAACAAGCCAAATTGGAACCAAATTACTAATAAAAAGCGAAAGAGTGACAGCACTGACAGTTAAACATTTATTTACTGTCAAAATATCACGTCACATCAATTAATTTTAA